GTAGTTTTGAGAATGCTTGGTGAAGATCTTGTAGGTGTTGGTCTCTGTCTGAGGGGTTGGAGCAGATGCGATTGTACCTCAGTGCTTGGCTGTAGACGATGGATCGTGTGGTGTGACCGGGGTGGAAGCTGGAGGCATGAAGGTACCAACAGAACTCCACTGGCCATCACCTACAGTGATGCCTGCTGGAGAAGTGGATTAACTACAGCGACGGGAGAACTCTATCCAACTACAGAAATAGTTTCTCCTCCCTTGGTGTTCACACCTCACCTGCTAGCAGAGCACCTCACCCTCCCTGATTGAACTAACTCACTGTCGTGAGTGTCTACACTGCACTGCTGCAGCCGCACTGCACTGCTGCAGCTTTTTTAGTGAAAACATAGTCTGAGATGATGTGTTAGAATGCTAGGGAGAGAAGACAGTTTCAGCAGAGACCCAAGGCTTGTCTACACTTAAAATGCTACAAATACACAGCTGCACCACTGTAGTGATTCAGTGTAGACCCTACTTAAGCGGACGGGAGGGATTCTCCCTGTCAGCTTAGGTACTTCACTTCCCCGAAAGGCAGTAGCTATGATAACAGAATTCTTCTATCAACCTAGCACTGTCTAAAACAGGGACACAGGGCTGGTCCACACTAACCCCCCACTTCGAACTAAGATACGCAACTTCAGCTACGTTATTCTCGTAGCTGAAGTCGAACTATCTTAGTTCGAACTTACCGCGGGTCCACACGCGGCAGGCAGGCTCCCCCGTCGATTCCGCGTACTCCTCTCACGGAGCAGGAGTACCGGCGTCGACGGCAAGCACTTCCGGGATCGATCCCAGAAGATCGATTGCTTACCGCCGGACCCGGAGGTAAGTACAGACCTACTCTTAGGTTGGCTTAACAATTTTTCACACACCTGAGCAGTGTAATTAAACCAACATAATTTTCTAATGTGGCTCAAGCACACACAGTGAGGGTGGGGCTTTGAGAAAAGGGAATTTTCCTGAGGGGGAAAACAGACAAGGTGACACTCTCTCTGGAAGGAAAACTGAGTCCAGCCTGGGTCCCAAGAACTCTTGGTTTTGCTAAAAGGATGGAAGTTGGGCCTGTTCTGTTCCTTTAACTCAAGACAGAAAACTATCTAAGTTAGCTTATAGGGAAGAGTAGAATTAAATGAGTAAAAATGTAAATAGGGTATTTGTTATTTGAAAATCATTTTCCCAATTGCTTTGTTTCCATTTGCTAAATAAACCTACTAGTTCAAAGAAGGCTGCTTGTCACTGTATAACACTAGTCACAGACTCCCAAAGGGACGAAACACAGGTGCCCAATCAAACCTGCACAGCAATAAATGACTGGTATACATGGGGTATGTTGCACCCACATCCTAGTCTAAGAACAGAACTGCAAAATTCCACCCCCAAGTCAGGTAAAGGGCATGTGGGCAATAGCTGAGGGTGTGTACTTAGGGAGACCAGAAAGGGGACATAGGTTCAAGCAGCCCTGTGATTATGACAAAGTACTTTAACAACTCCTTCTATCTGAGGATCTCAATCTCAAAGTCATGTATAAAAAAGTCATGTATAAACACAATATTACACCTTGCATTACACCTTTGTGAGATTACACTTACTAGCTCTCTTTTAAGGACAGTTAACATGAATCACAGACAAGATAAATTTCATATCTAAGGTCAAAGGGTCTGGAAGAGAATCTAAATGTCACATTTACAATTCCTGCTCTAACCACTAGAATGCACACCACAGTACACCACAGAGGGGACAGGGGAAAGTGGCAGAAGAGGGGGAAGAAAAAACGGCAAATACCGGAGGGGTATATAGAGGGTGGGAGGGGGGATAAAAAAGAAAGAAAGAAAAAAAGGCACAGGGCATGCTTCTGTTTGGTATCAAGTGTCCTTGGTCCCCACTAAAGGGAGTGGGAGCTGAGGATGCTCAGCCCATAAGTGAGGCAGTATTTAACTACTCCTAGTTACATTTTTTTTTAATTCAGGTCACAATTTGTTACAATCCTGGGTTGGTATGAGGATAGAAAAAGGGCTACTTCATTTGTTGATAGCATGCATTTGTAACTGCCTATATGGTTCATATTACAAAACTGACAAAGTTCAATCATACAGTTTTTAAAAGAGAAACACGGTAATACACTATCACTTAATGTTAGGGTAAATAATAATACCTTTGTCTCAGGCCAACAGGCTTTGAGAACAGCTTGAGTTCTGAAGAACACAAGTAGCCTGCTATCCTCATCACTGAGATGAAATGCTTGCTCCATAATCTGCAGCACCTTAATGCGGGGCTTCACTGGCAAGGAATCATCACCACAGAAAGGTCTCAACCACTCCAATAGATCATCTGAAGAAACTAGTTTCTCCCTGTAATCCAAATAAAATGGTTCAGCTTTAATTAATACTTAGTCATTTTAATCCAATTTCTAAAGACATTATCACTGATAGCCACATAACAAATATGTCCTGTGTTTAGCTGTGAACAACTTTAATGGGACTTTGTAAACTCTTCTAATTCTGATTGTGGCATAAGCAGCTGTGAGTTAGACTTACCTGAACACAACCACAGAGATTCAGTGCCTCTGAATTGCATTGTCTTCTGTATTATTGATTATGTTACTTGGTTACATATTTGGCTACCTTGAAATAGAGACTGTTAACCTGTGGAAACTTAACCCACTCTGCTGTTTTATGAACATGAAAATAAATAAAGGAGTTCTCAAATTAAATTAATTGCATGCCAACTTCACTATCATGCCATTCTGATTTTAAGAACTAGCACTACAAGATCAATCAAAAGGACTGATCTAGGATAAGTGACAATATAGATGATCATGGATTCGGAGAAGAAATTATCATGTTAAAAAATGAAACTTGTTGGGAAGAGAATTCATATACATCCATCCTGCAAACATCAAATGAAACACACATCTACTACAGCTATTTAAATAGATACACCCTCAGTTAAAAATCCATTCTAAGTTCTTTAAATTTTCCTACACTAATCAATTTTAAGAGTCATCACAGAGGAATCATGAAGAACCAGCTATACATAAAAACACTATTTTCTAAACTGTAAGAGTTTAATCAGGGAATATTATGTCTTCCTAGCATATAGAAAGCAAAACACATTTCAATATTTAACATAATATGAACTACAGAGAAATAAAACTTCTCAAGCATTTATTAATCTCATGAAGGAATTGTTTTTTCATGATTCCATTCCAAATGAGGTCATTCCAATAGTTGTAATACAAAATGTAAAAGTAAACAGATAAAAGGGGACACATAATACTTTGAACATTAATGATCAGAGTCTATGAACACAATTTCTAATAATTTTAATAATTTGGGGATTTTATGATATTAAAATAATTGTATTTTAAATAAATGTAATAATAAAACCAACATTAAAGACTCGATGCTTCTTTTAACTCCAAGAAGTATATTCTCTACTTTGTCCATAGGATGTTAGCCAGGTTGCACAGCTATGAACTGAGCTAAAGTATATATGCATAAGGATGTTTATTTTGAATTCACACAGTATACAAGGAAGTATCTGTTAAATATGCAATATGATGAATACTTATAAGCATTCAAGATATACTAACGTATGTGACAGGTACAGGTGTGAAATTACATACAATTTTTTTAAAAAGTATATTCACAAATCAATAGACTGTACTGTTTCTTTTGTGATATTTTCTGAGAAGGATGCCAAAAGGGGTGGCAGGCGGGGAAGTATTGCCGCTGCTTCTAAAGATGCAGTTCTAGGATATTGTTTTTCTAAATTACATTTTAGGTCTAAACAATGCTATTGAGTAGTTGGAATAATTTAAATAATTATGTCAAATTGTATTTATTTATCTAAATAAATATACTGCACTCCTACTGACTCTATGCGCATTGTATACTTAAAACAAACATGCATATTTTAACAGATTCCTAAAGGAATCTTAAACTAATCTTTGAATCCTTGGAAACCCCAACTTATCTACTATACCAGTGTCACCCCAAATGGCTTCCATTAGATACCTGTTCATTGCCTCACCTCCAACCAGCCTATCACAATCATCTCCCATTCATCAGTCAATGCCAACAAAACCCTCCAGGAAAGGCCTGAGAACACAGGCTCATCTCACATGTCCTCCAAAAGTCATCAAACCATGGCACTGGTGAAGCAAGTGGGAAAGGAGTTCCAGTCATGACCCTTCCAGAAATGAAAACCTTGTTCTGAAACTTGTAGGAATGTTTATGAAAAAAAATTACAGAGGAATTACAACTAGAAGATAATAAGGTGGTAAGTAACATTCAACATGGATTTGTCAAGAACAAATCATGTCAAACCAATCTAATACCTTTCTTTGAAAGGGTAACAAGCCTTGTGGATGGGGGGGGGGGGGGGGAGGTACGTTGCCTGAGCTAGTGCTCTCAGTCCAGCACTCTGCTCTCTGCAGCGATGGTGCTGGCAGCAGCCATGCGTTCATGCCCCATGAAGGTACATCGGCTTGGGATGGGCTCATCTTATCAGGAGATCTCACCAATGCAACGTCTCCCCCAGTCTGGCCGACAAAAATGGTATGCACCATGCACGACATGCATACTGATGGGCTGTGGGTGCCCTGGCATAGGAACCCCCAGCAGTGGTCAAAAACATCCTCACATGGCCATGGCACTGTGTTTATCAGACCCAAGTGGTTAGTAACACACACAATCTTCCCAGTTTTTAAATGTAATTGCAAAATTAGTAGAATTAAGCCTGATTTAATAATTTTGTAATTACCTTAAACAATCAGGAATCTTATGAAAAGTTTGGGGGAATGGGGGCGTTGCTCTCTCTGTCCTTCCCAACCAAAATACTACATCACCAGCTCCCACTGGCATACAAGGGGCAGGCAGGTTGAGTGCTTTGGGGGATCTCAACTATCCCATCATCACACAAGAAGAGAGAGACTCTTTTAGGTAAGCCAGTCCCCAAACCCTTTAGGGTTTTACAGGTGAAAATTAAGGGCTAAGCTGTATTTTAGAACCAAGTAGTGCATTTTGTCATTGTGGATAATTAAATCATTAATATGGCACAAAAACTACAGAAACATTCATTTCAAATACTGAAGATAAGATATAGCAGTAACTGAATTCATTACATTTTAAAAAAGCAGCTGAAGCATCATCTAACAATTAAATCGGAGAAAACACTGTTTAGAAATAATCCTAGTTCTTTTAAACATATTTTTGGTATTTTTCTAGGTTCATTATTCCTAAAGGTATTTACATAAAAGCTTCCCCTCTTTTCTGTTGACCTCAGCTGCCCTGATACAGACATCCATGTGCATTGCAAAATGGTTTTAACATGATTCTTATTCATCTGAGCATGGCTTGTATTAATGCTTCTGCTGTTTACTAAGCAGTAATGGATTCTTCTCATGCATTTCTACTCTAAATTATATTAGATGACATTTTTGTAATCCTTTCATTCTGAAATATTTAAATTAGCTAATGTTATTACAATTAGCAAGGAGCCAATTAAATATTCTTCCATGAGAATCTATGGATTATTTTAGTCTAACAAATGTATGGCTGTCAATGAGCACCAATGTCTGTTCTTAGTGGGAAAGGAAGATGATGCTAAAAATGTGTATGTAGGAGACACACAGCACAACTTTTTTACAGAACTTGAATCTAAAATGATCAAATTCTGTTATCTATCCATTTATGCTTTTAGCTAGTTTTCAGTTCATTTGACAGCGTTCATACTCAAGTAAATTTGAATTAATCTTTCAAACAAGATTGAGACACTGTCATTTACTTTAATAAATCCAACACATATCACATCTACAGTACTCTGTTCCCTTCAATTGCACCACAATTCAAAACTAAGGTTGTAGAAATATCCTGTCACTTTTTAATGCTTGAAAAGAAACACTAATGTCATTTGCATAGTTTCTGAAGACTGGATCTTCCCTGTAAGGTAATTAGCTTGGCATCAAACTTTCCCTCTCTTTTAATATGATCTTTGTATCTTAAAAAAACATTTACAGATAGGTACCTAGGTTAAAAACATATGGCAATATCATAGACGCACAGGCAAGTACTATGATACAATTTGTTTTGTCACAAGATTGTTATGCAGAGTTTGATGCACAGTTAGTGTCACAATGCTCTATCCATGCAGAATATAAATAATTTGCTGTAGCATATAATCTCTAGACAAATGTGTATAGATAAGTGTTTGTTGTGGCATTGTGATCCAAGAGTCTGTAAATGGCAGATATTGTAGGGATGGTTTAATATTCCACAGCTAGGGAAATGAATGGTTAGGGCAGAATCATTCTATATAAATATCAGTAACTAGATAACAAGTTCGCACCATGTTTGGGTGCAGAGCTGATTTTAGCTTTGGGCCATTGACCTGTATAAATATTGGCAAGAGCCCAGCAATCCTCAAATAGAAATTGGGATTGTAAAAATCCAGCTGTGATTAGTGCCATTTCTCATTTGTTGGATTTTTTTTCTCCTTTGGCTAGAATATTGCTTTCAGACTATCATAGAATCATAGAATCATAGAATATCAGAGTTGGAAGGGACCTCAAGAGGTCATCTAGTCCAACCCCCTGCTCAAAG